ATGACGCTCAAGTTTTACGAATTTTTTTAATGCTGACAACTACGGTAAATGGTTTGATGATGACAATGTTGTTTTTAAGAACTAATTGTTAACATATTATGAAACTGCTAAGTAGGTAACTAATTCAGCTAAACAGCAAAAGTGAGTTAGTGAAAAATTTGTTTAGCAAAACGGAATAAATGCCTGCCTAAACTCCTCACTGTGCTGTTCCATAATCATCGTTATGCGACCAGCTGTATCACCTTTTTTCAATTCGTATGCTTCCGAGACAATGTTGCTGTAAATATTGAGAACAGTAGAAATTGAAGAAGAAAATCTATTCTTGCTATCAGAGGGCACTTTACATCTTTTTTTTTTGGTTGGGAGAAGTGATGGCTAAAAAAAAAAAAAAAAAAACCGGAGTTATTGAACGTAGGAAAACGAGAAGGACAGTTAATCATATTACACTTGTGTTTTTTCTTTTTCTGTTCAATTTCTGACTGAAGCAAAAGCTTTTTTTTTTTTTCAGTTTCTTCAAAAACATCTATCCAAAAGCTTTATTTAAACTCAGACAGCAAAAAAAAAAAATTTCCTATGTAGAAAATTAAATGAAATGAATTAAGAAAGGCAAAAGAAAATAGGGAAAAAAATTGTATCAAAAAAAAACTGGAAGAACGATGAATGAACAGTGGAAAAAAAAGTAAGGCAACAAGAAAACAGAAAACAAAACGGAAGCTAAGGGAGCTGTAAACGATTTTACGTATGAAGTGTATGCAGCTGCTCATCTTTGTCGTCACCATCTTCTTCACCTTTTCGTTTTTCATATGCTTTATTAATCTTTCTATTCACTTTTTCCAAAACTGAAAAAATATACGATAGAAAAGTAGACTTCAAAAAAAAAAAAAAATGTAATTGGAAAAAAAAAACAACAATTGATAAACAGATTGAATTTTTTTTTTTGCTACCGTTAAGCTAACAACTACAATAAAGGTGATGTTCAATTTTGTATCTGCCTTATTTCTGGCATCTACTGAATTAAAGTTTCATCGAGACGACATCAAAAAAAAA